TGAAAGCACGTGTGGTTCTCAAATACAGGCATTCTGATGCAAGTTTGTGTATGAAAGCAATAGACGATTTATTTTGTTTGGTGTATGGAACAGTCTAAGCTCAGGATGTAAAGAAGACTGAGAAATTCCACAGTCAACTAATGTAACTTAAGGTAGCGAAGGAACCCACAGTGTTGCCATGGAAACAGGCTGACTTATTTGAAATGAAGACTGTTTGCCATGGTCTCAGGAACTAAGTTCCTTCTGAATTTGAGAAAGCACTGGGACAGAAAATACTTCATGTAACTAAGTGGGCTGTTCAGAGGCCAAGAGATCATTTTTTGTACTTTGTTTTTGAATATTTACTTTAGAGAGCTAGGAATATAAAGGCTTTCAGTTAGCAAACTTTTACATATTTTTGGAAACTGTACAGGAAAGGTGGCTATCTTGGAAACTTTCTGCAGATTATGTGACACTGGGTAAAATATATAGTTACTTCTTTTGGTAAGTCTGCATCAATAATTTGAAAATGAGACATCAAGAAAAGCCCATTTTTCCTTAAGTTTATTCATCTTTAAAAGAAAGTAAATGTAACCATTGTGCTGAACTGATAGATTTCCATAAAATACATGCAGCTGATGACCATGAAATATAAAATCTGGTAACCAGACTTAACTGTGCACACCAGTGTACCTGATCATGTGCAGTAGTGCAGCCTCAATGGTATCTGAAAGTAATTATGAAAACAGGTATGCTTTATCTTGAACTTTCCAAACTTAAGCGATATTTTTGAATACAAGGACTTAACATATAGTATTATCAGCTGGTTGAGCAGACTCTGAATCTGAGCTTTCCGTGTTCAAACCGCATGAATGGAATGATCACTGATGGTGCGAAGCCACCATACTACAGGACACTTGTCACAGATTTCCAATGTACAGTTTCTCAGGAGGCTGAGAATCACCTGAGCTGTTAAACCTTTCCGTGCCTCTCTGCCACCCCGGTCTGCTTCCCTGCTTCCTTCACCAGGCGTTAAGTGCGACTGTCAACCCTTACGTTTTCCACTGAACCAGAAGTACGATGTTATTTGCTATTTACTTTATATTTGTAATCTGAATTTTACCACCCAAGTGTAATGTTCACATGTTGATTCCTACATTAAAATATTTTTGTTAGGAATTTGTCATGTTGAGCGACACTTTAATGAGGAAAGTTCCACTACCTGTATGAATTTTGACATGTTTCGGAGAGGTCAGTAAGTAAAATATTATGTATATATCACTTCTCTTGAAGTTTTTAACTCCATAAGAATTACTGATTTCTTGACTGGAGTATACTATATTCATAAAGTGAGCCTAATGATACAGTAAGTAAATTTTGTGTTTTGTTTCTTGGTACTTATTACATTTCTCTGAGCTGTATGTTGATGGCCAGGTTCTCTTCTTGGAAAGTAATCAACTAGTGTAGGGCTAAAAAAAAAGTGTAAAGTACTGTATAACACAGAAAAGTCTATACGCGTTAGCAAAGTGTTCATGAACATTCATTTACTCATTATCCAGGTGAAGAAATATAATCAGCAGCCCAAAGGCCCATCCTGTGCTCTCTTGCTTCCCTTTTATTATTTATTTAATAATAATAATAACTCACCATTCATTATTACCCTATATTACCACAGGGTTATAGTACCCTATGGATGCTATTTTTAACGTCCATGCTACTCTGCCTCTTTAGAGCCCTCAGACAGAGCTAGTGGGGGTTAGGGATCCAAGATATTGTGTAATCCACCAGTTCCCGCTATTTTGTACATGAGTTCAGAGGGGGAAGTGACCTGATCAAAGTCATACAGAGTCACAGAATTTGAGTCTCCACTTTCCCAATCCAGGGCTCTTTTCTACTGCCTGACCACCTCTTCTCAGCTTCTACACCTAGGACAGGACCCCAAAGCTGCCTCCCAAGGCAGTGCCTGGGTGGTAAGTCGCACCCAGAGTCAGCCTTACCTGGTTGTCATCTGTGATCGGCGGCCCCTTCGCTGCACCTGCCGGTGCTTTATCATTATGTTCCAAGGGTTCTGTGGAGACCAAGGGAGCAGATGTCACCGAAGTCTGCGACGCTGGGGTGAAGGTGGTGGGTGGGTATGATGAAGTTAAAGCTAGAGCGCTGCTTCTCAGGTGCTTACACCGCCTCTCCCACGGTGGGGCGGGGATTGGGGGGTGGGCAGTGATTGAAAGGCCCTGCCAAGGGACGAGAAACTCAGGGAGAGTTTCCTGCCTCAATAGTCCCGACCCCACCTTTTCAGGTACGGCTGGAGGGAGGGACTCAGTGTTTACTGAGGGCCCGTTCTGTGGCATCTGATATGCTGGGCACTTTACCTGCATTTATACCCCATCCCCAACACAACCTTATGAGGCAGATACTAATCATCTCCGTTTTATAGAAGAGGAAACTGGAGCTCAGGGGGAGTTGACAGCCTGGCCCACGTCGTCTAGCGAGGAGGGCAGCACCAGAATTTGAATCCAGGCCGTCAGACTGCGAAAAACGCCAACCCCCTCGGCAGCACCAGTCACCGCGTTCCCTCGCCCGCGGGCTAGGGTCCCAGGAACCCGAAGCCCTGCCGGCCCGAGCCCAGGCCCGGCCCGGCCTCCCTGGGGACAGGCTTACCGTGAGAACCAGCTGCCCCGCTGCACCCGAGTCTCCCAGCTCCGGGCCGCCCCGCTCTGCTCCGCCGGGTCCCCGCGGCTGCTCGGCGTCGCCAGTGGCCCCCATTGCGCCCCCGACCCTCACAAGCCCGGGCCGACTCTGCCAGTGGGCCGGAAAGTGGCCTCGTGACGTCATTGGAACGCGCGGCTGCCTGCCCGAAAGCGCGACGCGTCGAGCGGCGGAGTTACCATGGGAACCAACCGCCGCGTCTGCCGGGAAACCCGGACGCACACTCTCAGAGGTCCTGAGGGGGCGGGGGTGTGTGAGGGGAGGAGGCGAGGGGAGGATCGTGGGGGCGGGGCTTCCTTCCCGGAGGGGTGGGGTCTCGGGTGTGGACAGGGCGTGTTCAGTCAAGAACCTTTCTCAGTCTGGAGAAGTGTGGGGCCAAGGAAGGGGAGCAGGTTTCCAAGGCTTGGGGTTAGGGAGCATAGGGGAGCATTTAGTACAGTGACGCCTGCAGTTCAGTTTTTGCAAACTGTAGATTTTAATATGGCCGGTACTCAATCCCCGGATTGGAGTGGCCTAATGCGGGGGCCCGGAAAACCAACAACAGGAGACCCATGCCACCCCTAACACTCTTTGCAGCCCTCGACCCCAGGGCTGCCTCTTAGGTCTGCAGGTGTCAGAATGAAAGTTGGGACTTGGACCGTGGATTCCTCCAGCCCCAGGGAGCTGGGCTTCTCTCCCCAGACTGGTGATTCTGGGATGGGTCAGGGATGCAGGGGTTTAACAGCTGTGGCATTCCCCAGAGCTCCCCTTAACTCTGCTATATAGATAAGACGGCCCTGAACAGAACTGGGTCCATTAGTGAAAGGTAGAGAAAGTTAGTTTTTCCAGGTCACACTATAGGGTAGTTGAAAGTACATGAGTTTTGCAGTTAGACAGATCTGAATTCAAATCCATTATGATGTAGTGATTTCAGAACTATGGAATTGGATTGCCTATCTTTATTTTACCATTTACCAGCTGTGTGACCCATGCGCCTTTCTCCGCCTTGGTTTTCCCATCTGTAGAATGGGTACAATAGTAACAAACTCATAAGATTGCCGTGAGGATTGAGTTAATTTGTGTAAAACATTTAGAACTAGGATGCAACTCTGACTGATGTGGCTCAGTGGATTGAGCGCTGGACTGAAGACAAAAAGGTTGCGGGTTGGATTCCCAGTCAGGGCACATGCCTGGGTTGTGGGCCAGGTCCCCAGTAGGGGGCGTGTGAGAGGCAACCCATCTGGCACAGGAAAACCCTCAAACAATGCTACCTGCCGTTACTATTAATATTAAATTCCAGCAGCCACCACTTACTGGTTTTCTGACCTTGGACAATTTTTCTCTGAGCCCTTCTGAGCCATTCTTCTTACCTCTGTGAGATTATTGTGAGCATTAAAATAAATAATGTATATAAAGCACACAGTAGGTCATCAACAGATGTTAATTACCTCTGTGCTCCAATATCAGCCTTAAAAAAATAAAGCAACTTCCTGGAACCAAACTCTTTAGTGCTATTAAGGAAGCTTTTACCCTGAGTCTTGAATATTCCCTCCCCTTTAACCTTACCGGGCCAAGCAATGCCAGTGGACACTGTTAGGTGTCATGGCCGACCAAAGTCATAAGCAGGCAGATAAAGAAAAATAAAAAGAAATAGAGGAAGAAGAGTTAAAAAAGAGGAGTATGTATGGTTTAGACTACTTGAAAGATAGCAACTATTCTTTGGGGTTCTGTCAACGAACCTTCAGACAGCTCAAGAATCTGGCCTATGTGGGCCAGAGCGACCACGATGTAGGTTTTGGTGCATTTGTATTAAATCTGAACAGACTCAAATACAGCCTTTCTGAAGCTTTTCGATCGTTTCTAAGTATCCGCTCCATTCTCTGTCTTCTAGGTTGCTGGCATGAACAGAAGCCACAGTGTGTTTTATTAGCTTTTGTTGTTTTTTAATTAGGTCATGTCTCCGGTCCTTCCCTCGGTCATTTCAGCTACAGCTGTGTCCTTCTAAGGCCACGAAGGGCTCCCTTTGATCCTTGATCCAATGGCCGTCCTCCGTTTTCCCAGGTTTGTCATCATTGTCCAGGGGTGTTGTGTATTGTATGTTACAGAGTTTGGTCACCGCCATCACATGTGGCCTTTCGTAGTGCCAGGAATTTTCCCACACACCAGCAACCAATCATTTTTCTTCTTGTCCGGAGAGGCCATCCTTGGGGATTATTGCGAAAGGGAAGACCGTGGGGCTGGGTGTAGGCCAGACTCCTGGTCCTCTCTCTCTCCCAGCTGATACTCTGGGCAAGGCGAGCACCTCTGGCCCGACCCCAGCTCTCATCTCAACTCTCAGCATCATCGCCATGTCGAGCTGCCTCTTCCTCCTGAAGGCGCTTCTTGTTCTTGGGTCCCTGACGTCCTGGGTGACTGCGGGAGAGCATGGTGAGCTATCCTTTGGGATCCCTGGCTGACAGAAACAAAACGTGCCTGGAGAAGGCATGCCCTGCCTCTTGCCCAGGGCCAGGGGCCTCGTTTGCGAAGATGTTCATCTCTGTAGGACGGGGTTGGATGCGTAGGTTCTTGGGACAGCCAGGGTGGGCCTTCCTGGCTTTCTTTACCCTCTCTGGGCAAGGAGATAGGACTTCCAGTCCTGCTTTCCTCTAGAATTTCTGTTTTTAAAAAATGTATTATTATTATTATTTTATTTCCAGAGGGAGGGGAAGAGAGGGAGAGAGACACACCAATGTGTGGTTGCCTGTTGTGCACCCCCAACTGGGGACCTGGCCCGAGACCGAGGCATGTTCCCTGACTGGGAATCAAACCAGCAACCCTTTGCTTCACAGACCAGTGCTCAATCCACTGAGCCATACCAGCCAGGTCTCCCCTAGAGGTTTTTTGTTTTGTTTTTTTTTAAAGAGGGGGAGAAACATTGATTGGTTGCCTCTTTTTTTTAAAAGATTTTATTTATTTATTTTTAGAGAGGGAAGGAGGGGGAGAGAGAGAGAGAGAGAAACATCAATGTGCGGTTGCTGGGGGTCATGGCCTGCAACCCAGGTATGTATCCTGGCTGGGAATCGAACCTGCAACACTTTGGTTCACAGCCCGCGCTCAATCCACTGAGCTATGCCAGCCAGAGCTCCCCCTAGAGTTTCTTAAATGGGAACACTATCACCCCAACCTTTCTCTCTCTCTTTATCTGCAGAATGGCTGGTTCTTTAGTCGTGGTCTGAGTGTGTTTGTGGTTGCGTGGGTGGAGGGGAACATGGTCGCCCCTCCATGTCCCCTGGGGAAGAGCTGTTTCAGATGGGAGTGTTTGGAGAGGCTGGAAGTTCTTGAAGTACGTTTGGCTTCCCTTCCCCATTTCTCGAGGCCCGGCCAGTTAGCCCAACCTCACGTGATGCCTTTTGCAGTGAAAGAAGGAGAGTGCCCTCCGGACAAGAACCCGTGCCCAGATCTGTGCCAGGGGGATGAGTCGTGTCCGGCGGGGCAGAAGTGCTGCCACACGGGCTGCGGTCGCGCCTGCCGAGGAGGCATTCTGCAGGGTACGTGGGTATGAGGGTCGAGATCCTGCCCTTGTCTTCGGGCTGGAGAGGCCTGGAGAGAGCCTCCTGCCTCCTGGACGGGCTCTGGAAACCTAGCTGGCGTGGAGCACCTCTTCTTTCTCCTTTTGGGGTCTCTCCTCCTTTACCGACTCAGTGTGCCCAGTTCTTTGTCTCCTATCGGGAAGGAACATGGGACTGATTGGCTCGGCCTTTAACTTTGAACCCAGGGTTCTTGTGAAGGCCGGGGAGCAAATGTGGGAAGGGAAGTTTAAGATCCTAGTGAGTGGAGTAAACCCTAGAGCCAGGCAGACCTTCTTAAGCCTTAAATAAGGCTTGAAGGGTTCTTTTTAAGTGTTTTTTTAAAAGACTTTATTTTATTTATTTTCAGAGAGAGGGGAAGGGAGGGAGAAAAAGAGGGAGGGAAACATCAATACATGAGAGAAACGTCCATCCATTGCCTCTGGCACATCGCCCCCAGGTGCCCCAACAGGGAATTGAACCTGTGACCCTTTGGTTCACAGGCTGATGCCCAATCCACTGAGCTACACCAGGGCTAGGTGTTAAGTTTGCAAGGTTCAGTGTCCTCCTCTCTAAGAGGGAGATAATTGTGTGTACCCTGTAGAATAGCTGTGAGGATCAGATGAGGGGCATGCGGCCAACTCAGTGAACGTCACAGTCGGTGTTCTTGTTGTCACTGCCTGGGCTTTAGCACCAGGGTGGAGGGTCCTAAATGGAGCTCCCTCTGATCGTCTGGTCTGCTGAGCTCGTGGGTACCCTCATCTCTGTTTTGGTGTCTGTCTCCCTTTCTGCTCCAGGGAGAAAAGGCGATTGTCCCAGGGTTGCTCGGAAACAATCCTGTTTCCAAAGGTGCATCACCGACGAGACTTGTCCAGGGACAAAGAAATGCTGCCGGTTTGGCTGCAACAAGAGCTGTGTCTTCCCGGTCTCTGCACAGAAGCTGGGTAAGAAGCTCCGCCCTGCACCCCATGCTCTCTGCTCGGCCTCCTTGTTTCTTTCTCAGAGATGCACCCATGCCGTCTTGTTGGTTTCACTCTACTCTAAAAAACCGATAAAACTCCTCCTATATTCCGAGATCGTTTCCAAGAAAAGATGCAAGAAGGGTACCCAAGCCGGGAGGTTGTATGGGAGGTGGCCCGGGCAGTCAGAGGAGGCCGGCAGAAGGGAAGTCTTGGGGTATCTGTATTTGCGGGCAGACCTGAAAGCTGTGGGGCAGTTTCCGGTCCCCGCCGTCAGTTGCAGTAATTCTCTAAGAAAATCTGGGCTGGGGAGCTGCGGAGAGGTAGCAGAAAGGATCGCGCCGCCTCTGCGGGGCAGCACACGTTTCCCCGTTCACTGGCTTCTGAGACTCTATGTCCCCTCTGTCCGCACACGGGATGGCCATCTCCCGTTGGAAATAGGCCCTGTTATGTTTTTATCCTCACCCGAGGACCTGTTTATTGATGTTAGAGAGAGGGAAGGGAGGGAGGGAGAGAGGAAGAGAAACATGGATGTGAGAGACAAACATCTATCAGATGCCTCCTGTACGTGCCCTGACGGGGGATGGAACCTGCAACCTAGGAATGTGCCCTGACCGGGAATCAAACCCACAACCGTTCAGTTTACGGGACGGGACGACGCTCCAACCACGTGAGCCACACTGGCCAGGGCAAGGCGGGACCTATTTTATTCTGATTCTGGCAGAGAGGCATTTGAAAGAGGTTCCTTCTTCCTCTTACAGGGTCCCCGTGACCTGATTCTCTATTCATATATGATTTCTTTAACAGATATTTATTGAGCATTTACTATTTGCTAGACCCAGTGATGGGGTTGTGGTACATCGTGGCGAACAAAGCGGGTTCAGTCCCTGTCTTCCCGGAGCTTATAGACTAGCAGTGGAGGAAGAGGCTTAACAGATAAGCATGCAAATAAATATTAATTTCAAACTGTGACAAGGACACAGGGAGAATTGAAGGATGCTGAGAGGTAGAATAAAAGAACACCTGTTTTATTTTCTCAGAGAAACATTTTATTTACTAGATCATCAGTTTGTTATAAAACAGGGCACTCGCTTCAGACCGTGGGTGGTCCAGGAAGGCCTGTCTGAGGTGGTGACATTTCACCTGCGACCCGGAGTTGAAGTTAGCCAGGTCAAGGGTGGGATGGACATTCCAGGACGAGCGAGGCAGGCGCAGAAGTCGTTAGGCTGAGAAGGACAGTGCCACATCTGAGAAGCGGAAAGGAAGCTGGTGCGGCGAGAGTGGAGACAGGGAGGGAGAGGGGAGGGCAGGCTGTAGTTAGACTAGGGAGGTGGCCGTGGCGGGCGGGGGTGGGGGGGAGGAAGGTGACACAATGGAGAGAATTTGGAGGCAGAAATGACAGAACGGTGTGCTCTATTCCTCGGTTCCTCCCCACTCCCTAGAGAGGCCCCCAGGAGGCACTAGAAACTGCTGGTGGGTGTCCACGCCTGCCCCTTTCTCATCTGCCTTTGTCTCAGTACTGTCGCGGCTGCTTTGGCTCTCTGGGGCTTCCAAATATACTGTATTATCATGTTGTCTGTTCCCTACGGCCCCCAAATACTGAGGCTACTTTCACTGGAGAGGGGTTAGATATATACATCAACTCCGAGAGAACTGACGTTTTCATAATGTCAAATCTTTATGTCTTCCCATTTTTTTCCTAAGTGTATTTGGTGCATTTCAAGGTGTTTTGTAGTCTTAAAGTATTTCTTGGTAAGTTAATGCCTGGGTTATTTTATTATCTTCTTTTATGCTGTCTCGAATGGGATCTCGCTTTGTGTCTTCCATTGTGGTTTCTAGAGGGGCTGGGGCCATTCTCTGAGCATGCGTGGCAGAGCATTGCAATGGCAAAGTGTACGTGTTGGTTGTCGGAGAGCTGGGCTCAAGCCTGAGGCTCCCCAGTACTGGCCAGTGGGTCCCTGGCCTCGTCTCTTCTGCTTCTCTGGGCCTCGGTTCCCTGCCCTGTAACGTGGCAATAATAAGCCTCGAAGGCTGTTGTGATGACTCAAGTCTGTGAAGTGTCTGGTCCTTGCTCTGCATCAGCTGACTTCCTCTCGCCTCTGCAGGTGGGCTTTGTCAGGGCTATGACTTTTAATCAGCCCCTTTTATCGAGAACCAGGATCATTTGCTCCTCCCCTGCTCACGTCTCCTCTGAGACCCCGGCACCGCCCCACACATGACGACCTCCTCCCTTCCAGCCAGACCTCCCCAGGGAGCAGGGGCCCAGCGGGGCTGTCTGCCTGCTTAGGCAGCTCTCTCGGGCAGCCTGCCCGAGAGAGAGAATGGAGGGTTGTACTCCTTGCCAGGACTCTTGAGGCCCAGCTCTGGAACCAGAGCCTGGGAACCTGTGGCAGGCGCGTCACTCACGGCCAGCTTGCCGGGCCTGGTACAATCTGCCCAGTGTTTGAAGCTGATGGCTGCCTTGCAAGGGCTGAGGAGGAGGCTGGCCCCCTGGCAAGGCATCTTTGTGAGCCGCTCTGGGCCCTGGCCAGCCCACATGGGGCTTCCGCTTCGCCCGGAGCTGGGCAGGCTGGAATAGCTGTCTCCCAGAGCTCACTGGCTGAGCGGGGCTCCTAGTCTGGTGAGAGGCAGCACGGACTGCTGTGTTGGTAGTGAAGTACTTTTCTACAGCTCCGGTCCTAGAGGGAGGCTGGACACTCACTCAGCGGGCTGGTGGCTACACCCGAGTCCACAGGAAGCTCTCCTTCCTGGGCTGTGAACAACTCCTGCTTTCCCTAAGCTCTGGTAGAGCCAGAGGTTCAGCATGGCCTGTGCTGCTCGGTCTGGTAGGGTGGCAGGACAGTCAGGTTGTCTAGGGCGCAGGGCAGATGATGCTAGGACCAGCTTCCAGGAGGCAGTTCTGGTCCGAGTGTGGGCCTGAATGCTGGTGCCTCTGCTTGCTTGCTGTGTGGCCTTGGACGAGTCCTTTCATCTCTCTGGACCTCACTTTTGGAGATGAGGACACTTACCTCATAGAGTAACAATACGATGTCTGGGCTGCTATAACAGAATACCGTGCACCGGGTGGCTCATGAACAACAGGAATTTGCTTCTCAGAGTTCTGGAAGCTGAGAAGTCCAAGGTCAAGGTGCAGGTAGACTGAGTGTCTGGCGAGGCCCTGCTTCCTGGTTCATAGACTGCCGTCTCTTTGCTGTGGCCTCACAGCGGGAGGGCAGTCAGGGCACTGATGCTGATGAGGCTCCACTGTCATGACCTGCTCACCCCCAAAGGCCCCGCTTCCGCAGATCCTCGTACTGGGGATTAGATTTCAACACGTGAGTTCCCAGGGGACACAAACATCCTGCCTGCATCGTGCAGAGTTGAGAAGAAATGCATTTTATTTACTTATTTATTTTTAAGATTTTATTTATTTATTTTTAGAGAGAGGAAGGGAGGGAGAGAGGGAGAGAAACATCAATGTGCAGTTGCTGGGGGTCATGGCCTGCAACCCAGGCATGTGCCCTGACTGGGAATCGATCTGGTGACCCTTTGGTTCGCAGGCCGGCGGTCAATCCACTGAGCCACACCAGCCAGGGGAAGAAATGCGTTTTCAAAGCCTATCCAAAAGCTGCCAAGTCATGTTCGATAGCTCATAGCGATGGCCAGCACCCCTCCATTCGAGTTCCCTCCCACCTGTCCGAAGTCCGACCTGTCTGTTCACTCACCTGTTTATTCAGTCCCTGCCCAATGCCTTCCCGCCTTACACTCGGGCATCCCCTGGGGACCAAGGCAGCCAGGGTCCTTGTTCTCGCGGTGTGAGAGACGGGAGATAATCATCAACGAGTAATAAGAACCACACGTTGTGACAAGTGCTGGGAAGGAAAAGAAAGAGAGGTGTAGAGGGGGGGTCATTTTCACTTGGAGGGCGTGGAGCTGGCCATTGGCCGGAGCACCATGAAGAGGGAACGGCGTGGCCAGAGGCCATGAGGTGGGTGGGGGAGGGTGTGCTGTTCTTAAGGAGGTGGGTAAGAGGAGGTCAGTGTGGCTGAGTGGAAGAGGAGGAGGGGATGGCTCCAGCTGAGACAGAGCCCAGACTTCGGGGCGTCTGCAGGGCCTCTCTCCAGGGCTTCATGGTAAGCGCAGTGGGAAGGCCTGGAGGGGCCCATAGAAGCAGGAGAGGCCTGGCCCAGGTTTCATGGTAAAAAGCCGCCCTGCTGGTGTGTGAAGAATGGGCGGGGCAGGTGGAGAGGATGGCAGGCCAGTGGAGGGGGCGTCGTGGCAGGCTGGGCGAGAGTGACCGTGGCTTAGGCCATCGTGGTGACAGCGCAGACCGAAGAGTGGCAGCTGAGGAGCACTCCGGCAGGCAGAGCAGGCAGGACTGGGAGAAGGAGGGGGAGGAGGTGGGTGCTGAGGAAGTACCAGGAATGGCGCTTGGGTGCCTGGCTGGAGCACTTGGGCGATGACGTGCTTCTTACCGAGGAGGAGCAAGTCGGGGAGGAAGAGGTTCTGGAGCGAAGATTCAGATTATGGCCCCAGAGCTGTCCCCTTCGGCTCCCCCCTGGCCGGCCCTCCTCCCACTGTGTGAAACTTGGCCACGCCCAGGGCCCCGCGACCCTCTGTTCTGCTTGTGACAACGTGTGCGCCGTGTCTTTGGCGTGGACTGACGGCACAGGCTCCCGCGTGAACCTTTTCCTGACACCTCACTGCTGGCTGTCACGGAAAACAGCACAGCAGCTGGAGACGGGCATTCCCAGAGAGGCCTGCTCGCAAGGCCGGCCTTGGCCGGCTGCTGGGAAACTGCATTTGGAGAGTGTCCCCATGAGCCTGAGCGATGAGAACGTCTCAGTGGGAACCGTGAGCTTCCTTGGCGGACGGCACGGTGCGTTCTGGCCCCCCCTCCCTGCCGTGGCTGCACTGGGAGAGGACCCTGGGAGCTGGCATCTGGTTTCCTCTGGACTTGGCCTCACTTCCCTTGATGCTTTGCTTTTCGTGCTCTGCTGTAATAGATCAGAGCCGCGGGCCCAGCTGTGTGCCGAGTCCCGTTTGTCCCAGCGAACCACCGAACCCCGGGTGGCCCTGGGGGCTCCCGACACGCTGGCTCGTGCATGCTTTCCTAACCCCTGAAACCGTCCGCCACTGGGTCTTCTCTTCTGGCAGAACCGAGCGGAGTGAGGCCCAGCGCCTGTGGATTTGTTCTGGGGTGACCCTCGTGGAGTAGGGGCTCAGAGTGTATGGTTTAAAGGGCACCCCTAGAGCTGGGGTCTTGGGACCCAGTTCTGCCACCGTTGCTCTCAGGTCGGCCCCTCTCCTTTCCCGGACGTCTGTCCGTTTGCAAGAGAAGAGGAGTAGGTTTCAAACTTCAGAGGGTCCTTTGTGGCTGGAGACGCCTTGGAATTTCACTTTGCCGCCAGCAGTCGCCTCATCCCCAGGACCAGCACAGAGACCAAACCTCCATCCTCTTCCAGGGGTGGGTGCTCCCGGCCGTGGTCACGTCGGGGCCTCGCTCAGCAAAACGGTGCGACCTGGGAGGCGTGGTACCGTACCCACCTACCCACTTTCCAGGGCACGCGGTGTAACTCCACGGCGAGTTTATGTTGCTGGGTTTTCCCCGCCAGCGAGATGTAACTGTGGGATGAGAGGCTTTGTTTTTCGTTAAATGGACTCCGGTGTTTGCCAAGCAGGTGGAGAGCTGTGGGAGGCACATCTGGAGGCTCCAGTGCCCATGTTTCCTGAGTGAAAACAACCAGAACACGGTTCCGATGTGATCTGACCATGGCGCAGTGTCTGGAGTGGGAGCTGTTCGGGAGAATCCCAGGTTGCCCGGTGAGGGCATCTTGATCGCTGAGCTACGTGTGTTCTCTCTGGAGGGGCCACGCTCGCTTTTTCCGTCATGGAAGACCGCCTGCGGCAGCCCGCGGGACTGTACGTGCGTGTTCCCACTCAGGGGCGCCGAGCCAGACCTGCTGTGGTTTTCTACAGAGCCTTTAATTGTCTGTCACTTTTTTCCATTTAAAAAGCTTGGAATCTATAAACACTGAGGTGGATGAGTCACAGCCAGCCGGTTTGGTTTGGATGTGACTTCTCTGGGCGGGCCCGCCCCGGGGAGGAGCGGCCGGCGCCCGCGTGCTTTAGGGATGGTGTGGCAGAAAGAATGCTTCCCAGTGAGCCGAGAGGCTGTGCTCTGTCCGGCTTTCCCTCTGACTCACTCTGGTTCTGGGCGAGCCCCTCCCTCCTCTGGGTTTCACTCTCTCCGCAGGTGTGGTGACAGGCACATCAGGAATGTGCGCCTGGCCGAGGCAGAAAATGAACCAAACTGGGGTTCACCTTTCTCACGTAACAGGAAGCCCTGGAGCAGGTGCCAGGGCTGGGGTGGCAGCTGCGTGGTGCCAAGGATGAGGCGGTTTCTCTCTCTTTGCGACCCTTGACTTGCTCGTTCCAGTTGCCTCCTAGTTGAAAGAAAGCTGCTGTCCCTCCCTGTGCTCTGTCTCCTTTGCGCTGGAAGAAAATGGGGGGGGGCAGTTTGAGAGGTGCGTAGCCCTTACAGCGGGAGTGCAGGAGTTTTCCCAGCTCTGTCACCGTTCGCGGCTCTCCCTCGTTACAGGGAGCAGATCCTGGTAGCTGCGGGGCTCACTGCCTCTCTGAACAAACCTGGGGTTCTGTCAACCACTGTCTCAGTTGTCTGCTGCTGCAGGCAAGCCACCCCCAAACTTAGCGTGGGTGGGCAGGGCAGCTCTTGCACCCTCAGGGCACAGCTGAGGTCACGCTGCCGCCTGTGGCTGGGGCCTCGGCAGGGAGCTCCACAGGGCCTGCGATGTCCAGGATGCCTCTGCTCCTCCGGGTTCTCTCTCCGGGGGCATCTCATCACGCTGTAGCCTCTCTGGCCCAAGCTGCCGCACGGCATGTGGCTGGTTTCCGGGAGGACGTGCTCTCATAAGCACCCCCCCCCGCCCCCCCGCCCCGTGCGAGTGCTTATCAAGCCTCTGCTTGCATCGGTCGTGCTTGCGGATGTTCTGTTGGTCCCAGCAAGTCGTGTGGTCCAGCCCAGAGGCAATCTGGGAGGGGCTCTACAAGGGCATGGGTCCCAGGAGGTGGGGTTCGCTGGGGGCCACCAGTGTAGACGTCTGCCACAGTCAGGAAGTGGGCTAGACCTCCGCGGTGCTTTTCAAACTGCAAGTCTTGAAATGAACTTAGTAGTTTACGGCCTGCATGCAGAGCAGAAGAAGCAGAATATAAGGTCTCAGCATTGCACGTGCAGGAGTGCGCCCCGATGTGCACCTGCACCGTTACCGTCTGAATGCACCCACGGGGCACGACGAAACGCGTGTCTTGTTCTCAAGAGTCTCAGTGAAAATAGCCGGAGACGCTGGGCCGGAGCGCCTCCGGGCCCCAGCGCTCTGGTTCTACGGCAGGGCGTGGCGGCGAGTGTCCTGCTGACCCCCTTCCCTGCGAGGAGCTGTGCGCTGGGGACGAGTCCTGTCCCCCGGGGCATAAATGCTGCAGCACCGGCTGCGGCCACACCTGCCAAGGAGACATCAAGGGAGGTAGGTCGGCCCTTTGGGCGGGGGAAATCCTTGGGTTTGGGGGGGAGTGGCCTGCGGCCTTCTTGCTTTTCCCTTCCTGGGAGGAATTACAGGCCTTATCCTTCCTGCCCACCTGGCCCCTCCTAAAGCCGCCCCTCTCCCTGTTGGCATTGAACAACCCGGGGACAGCAGCAGGGGGTGACAGGGACAGCCCCTGGGCAGGAAGACAGGCAACTTGGCTTCTGGTCTTGGTTCTGCTGCCAATTTGCTCTGTGACCTCGGATAAGCGAATGCCTCTTTTTGAGCCAATTTCATCACCTGTAAAATGAGAGAGTTGCCCCAGATCATGATCTTCTGACCTGATTTTTAGCACAAAGCTTCTCTGTCTGCAACATAAAATCGTGGTTGGAAGCAACAGATAGACAACAGATAAAGCAACCCTGATCTGATTTCTTTGTTTCTTCAACATTATTTTCTCAAACACACACACGTTTTTGAGCGCTCCTGTACTGCCAGGCACTGCAGAACTCCGTTGCAGAATCACGGGCCCAGAGGTGGTTTTAGGCAGTGTTTTCATTCCCGGGCAGCAGTCGAGGTCCTTAGGTAGCACAGAGCCCGTCAGGGAAGGCAGACAAAGGAGTGAATTACAATCATTTCGGATGAGAGGAGCACCGCACGGCTCGGGCTTTGTCTGGGGTGGCAGGGAGGTCTCCCTGAGGCAGTGACACTATGAAGCCCATGGGTAGGGGAGAGGGCGGGGTCCTGGGAGCCTCACTCCCTCTGCCCCCCACGCAGCCCCACCCCCAGGCCCACAGAGGTGCCACCCCCCAGGCACCTCTAGAGAGCTCCCCGTGGGGCGCTCTCTGAAAACTGTCGGTCCAGGTGTTCTCTGGAGGCCCTACAGGCTCTTAGGTCCGCCACCTCCAGGTCTCCCAGCCAGACCTTCGGTTCAGGGATAGATTCTCCAGGAGTGCCCCCAGGTCTGAGTTCCAGGTGGGCACTCGGAGTCCGTGGAGCCCACTGTCCTGTCTCTGTACCTGTGCCCGTTCCCCCACAGGGCGGGGCGGGGCTTGTCCGCGGGTCTTGGTGGGCCTGTGCATCGTCGACTGCATGCTGGACGAGAACTGTCAAGCCGGGCAGAAGTGCTGCAGGTCGGGCTGCGGCCGCTTCTGCGTCCCCCCAGTTCTGCCGCCCCAGCTGGCCGCGGACCCCAACGGGACCGCCAGGGCTGACTCCGAATTAGGTGAGTGCAGCCCGGCGTCCTCAGACACAAAGGGCTTCCCTGCTCCGTGCAAGCACTGGCTTAGCTGCGGGGCAGGAGGCTTCAGAGGGCCCGAGTGTCTGCCCTGAGGAGTCTAGTTGGGGGGAAAGATGGTATGTTCCAGAATGCTTGTGTCAGGAATACAGGCTTTCACAGAGGGTGGGGCTCCTTGGAGAGGTCTTTCTGCTACCAGCAGGGTTGGAGCTGGGCCCCGAAGGTGGGGCGGGATGGGACACAGGGAGGACGGCCTGGAGGACACGCGGGACAGGCGGCCGGTGATGGTTAGTCGGGGCACAGAGGGCGGAGCAGGTGACGAGTCTGGGGAGCTGGGGCTGGGAGGGGGCCAGAGTGGGTACGGGAGGAGATGGGCTGTTGTTAAGACAGGGGCTACACGCCGACGTCTGAGTGAGAGAGCCTTCCACGCCCGTGTGCCCCAGGTTGTCCAGGAAGCCGGGAGCCAATCGAGGCTTCCGAGAGGAGTGAATGCCACGCTTCTCCAGGGAGGAGGGAGACACTGGGGGGAGCTGGAGCCAGGAGGGCGCAGCTGTGACTTGACGTTCCTTCTTCTTGCAGAGACCCGGGTGCCCTAGCTGCCCCGATGTGTCCTGACGGCCAGGGGCCTGTCCTGGAGGCCGGGAGAGGATGGTGCCCAGGGCCCGTGGTGCTCGCAGGGGCTCTCACTGCCCTCCCCGCCCTCCCTGCTCTGCTTCCGTTCCTGCTGCTGCCCCACGCTCCGCAGAGACAGCCCTGGGGTTGGGCAGTGGGCGGGGGAGGGGGTGGTGGTGCTTTTGTCCCCAATAAAAGCTGGTGCTGACTCTCTTGTCTGGACTGTTTGAGGACTAAGGTGAAGGAAGCGGGGTTGCGGGGCGGGGGGGGGGGTCTGGGCGTGGCTGCGGGGTTCTGGGGCTCGTCTGGGAAGGGTTGGTGATCCAGTCTCTCCCTGAGCACCAGCATGGCAGCTGGTTGGGTGCCGCTAGGGCAGAGATGGGTGGCAGATAAAACGGGGTGACTTGCCAGAGGTGTCCGTGTCCAACCTCAGGAGTAGGACAGTCGGGCCTCTTTTGGGGTCTGCTGACCTTGCTTCTATCAGAGGGTGTGGGTTGGGGATGGGACTGGGCTGAGGGGCTGGTTTACTGTGGCCACTTGGACGCTCCCGCCTCCGGCCGCCTTCCCTGGGTCCAGGAGCTTTACCTCGGGGAGGGGATGTTTTAGGTTCTTGGAACCAAGATAGCTTTTAAAAACTCTGCTTTTATGTACACAGAATGGATCATACTCTGCATCGTGGAGGTCTTTTGTTATCGCATACGTTCTTTTAATAGAATGTCATGAAAATAGCTGATTTAACTAGCCGCCTCTTGTTGGCCATCAATATCCCCGTACCTGTAAATCTTGACTGACTCTTGCCCGTAAATCCGGGGAAATCCTTAGCAGCAGAATTCCAGCTTTTGAAAGACAGCCTGGCGGAAAATAGGTCCTCGACGACTATTGGCTGCGTGGAAGAAGGGAGGTGATTCTCCAGCCTGTCCGTCAGGAGTCTGTTGGGCTGTCGGTCACAGGAAACCCGGCTCATGGCGGCTTAGCCAAAACCCACATTGAATCCGCTCACGCCGGAGCCTGGGGAGAAGCGGTGAGGCTGGGTCAGCGGCTCGGCCGCGGCACCCGTGACCAGACTCCTTCCTTTGCCACCACATCTGCGTGTTGGCATTGCACCTCATGCCAGTCAGCTCACAGGGGTGGGGGCAGGTAGGGGGAGGGTGGCCGCTGCAGCCCTAGGTGTGACAGCAGGAGGAGGGTCCGTGTAGAGGACAGTGGCGAAAAGACCCCCTCAAATAGCCACACACCTTGAAAAGTTATCCCAAAGGGTGTTGTTCTTTTAGCGACAGAGGACGTGTGCCCCAGAAGCTGCCACTCCCCAGACTGCCCTGCCCACCTCGCTGGCCGGCCAGGGGGAAACGTGGCTCTCAGATTCATCAGGCTTCATCCCCGGGCTGAGGGCTGAGGGTGGGGCCCACCTCGAGGAAAACACTAGGTTCTCCGGATCAGCCAGGCAGGAGAGAACGCTTCGGGGACAGGTACGCAGTGAACCAGCTGTGTGTGCCGTGCGTGGGCAAAGGGCGTGCGCAGTCAGCGGCTGGACACAGTGCTGAGTAGGCGGGGCTGTCAGAACCTGGAGAAGGAAGAGGCGTTGGTGCTTGCCTTGGAAATTGCAAACATGCTTTAAGGGAAAGAGGTGAGGTATGACTAAAAAAATTTCCATCGCTGAAGTGAGGTTTTTTTGTCCCTTTTTTTGGCTCTGTTGTCCCATTTGAGTGTGAAATTCTGGGTTCTGCCCGCTTGAGGACATGCATCGCCTGGAGCAGAGCAGGCGTGGGCCAGCGTGCCTGATCCAAAAGAGTGGCTGGGCTGAGCCCCTCAGCGGCCACTGGAGAGACGGGGGAGGCGGGCGCCTGTGGCTCCAGGCTCTTGTCACGACGGACTGGGAGGCACTGGTGTCCGTGTGATAGGCTGCTGACTTTTGTCAGATTCCCCCTGTCACTTTATTGTTTATTAAAAAAAACGAATACATGTACATAGTTAAATCAGTAAAGAAGGCTTTCAATGAAAAACAATGGTCTGGGAATCTCAAAATACTGTCGGATGATTTTCTGCGGGGGTGGGGAGTGGGACTAGACAGGAAGCTGCGAGCCCCAGGCAGCTCAAGCTGAGTGCCAGGGGAGGGGTCCTTTCTAGATCTTTCCCTGCCATCTGGGGCAGCAGCACACCCGTGTCCATGTTGGAGCTGCAGACTTACCTATAGGTAGCGATGACAGGGGAGGGAGACACAGGCGTGGGGGAGGGAGAAGAGAGAGAGAGAGCGCTCGAGCGAGTACAAGCCCTGAATTTGAATTTGGGATTTTGTTGGAGGAAGAAGTCAAGAGTTGACAGAGGTGAGGGTGTTCAGTGGTCAGTGAAGGCTCAAGGTCTATTTGAGCCCTGGCTGCTGTGGCTCAGTTGGTTGGAGCATCGTCCCACAAACCAAAAGTTTGCAGGTTTGATCCCCGCCACGCACGCTGGGTCCCCTGTCCTGTCCCGCGTGAGTATGATCCCTGGTCCAGGCACATAGGGAGGCAATTAATCCATGCTCCTTTCATGCGTTGATGTCTCTCTCTCTCTCTTCCTCTCTCCCTTCCTGTCCCTCTGAAAGCTATGAAAATATGCTAAGTGAAATAAGCCAGGCGGTGAGGGACAAATACCATATGATCTCACCTTTAACTGGAACCTAATCAACAAAAGGAAAAAGCAAGCAAAATAAAACCGGAGACATTGAAATTAAGAGCAATCTGACAGTAACCAGAGGGGAGGTGGGAGGGGATAAGGGGGGAATGGTTTTCAGGAACAACTACAAAGGACACATGGACAAAACCAAGATGGGGGGAGGTGGAAGCAAGGGAGGGAGGAGGGTTTGGCTGGAGTGGGGGGAGTGGTGGGAAGTAAACGCAGATGACTGTAATTGAACAACAATAAATAATTTTAAAATAAAGACCAAAAGTAAAATAAAAGCTATGAAAACATGTCCCCAGGCGAGGATAAAAAAAGACTTATCTGAAGTGGTGGGGGACTCAGATGCTACCCCCTCAGACCCTGGGCGCAGTAGTGTTTTGGATACCGGTGTGGGAGCAGCAATGGCCTGGTTTTGAGCGGCGAGTCTTTGCTGAGTGCCTTTCTCCTTAGAGCCACCAGAGGGCAGCAGAAGCCTGTCATAGACCAATTCCCGGTAAGAGAAGGGGAGGTGGTATTGACCCCACAAAAAACATTATTCTAGAAGCCTGGTTACAAAGTGATCACTGAGTGCCTCCCAGCTTTTCCAGGCCCCTTTGAGAAAACGTTACATAGCTGGGTCTCTACTCCAGGTTTCTACCGAATTGCACTTAGTAAATTAGGACCTAACCTTATGCCCTCCCTTGGCGTCTGATGTGGAATGCTTCGGCGGTTTTGGTAACATCTATCTTGGGAACATTAACCATCATGTTGTATCAACATATCATGTACAAAACCACAGAGTAAATTCTTTTTGTAGCTCAAGGTCAGGAAAAAGTTTCTCTTATAATGTGCTAATGAAAAATGGGCAGGGAAATCACTTATTGGGCATGCCTGGTGTTGCCAGACCCTGGGACTGGTGCTTTCTGGAGCTGATGTTTCATTTTGCCTCGGCTACCAGGAAGCCAAGAGCTTCAGTTTTGGAGTGAGGCCTGGGTTTGAATCTAGACTCTTCCGCTGCTTATTAGCCCCGGGCAGAATGAGTGAGGGCCACCTTCTCACACTGTGCACCTCAGAGGGTTGCTGGGAAGAGTGAATATACGAAGAAAGCACCCAGCACACAGCCGGACAGAGGACGCACACTCAACAAATGTTAGCTAGTGTAATTCAGCTTTTCTGACGCAATTCGTTGCCTCCTGCTACCCACTTTTATTGCTTGTCTCTGCTCCCTTTTTGTGGTTGGCTTAATGATTTTCAGTTTCATGTCTTTTGTTTTACACTGTTAGCTTTCTCAGATCCTGTCTGGAACAAGGTGAGGTATGCATACCTGAGAGGTTAGTACCAGTGGAGTTCCTGAGCAGAAAGAACATATAGAATAGTGCTCTTGAATAGAAATATGTGAATCCCATGTGTGATTTCCAGTTTTCTAGCAGTTATATTAAAATAGTAGAAAGTTTGGTGCTTTCTCAGAAAGGTAAACATGGAATTACCATATGGCCCAGCAATCCCGCTCTCAGGTGTATATACACCTGAAGGAATCAAAAACAGGTGTTCAAACAAAAATTTACACATGGATATTTTTTGCTCGGCCACACTGAAGTCACGTGACCAGTCTGTTTGGATGCCAAGACCCACGGGGGGCGGGTCTCGGGGCCGATGATGTTGGGCACGGAAGGTGCAGAGGCGTCTGTGGTGAAGGTCCGGGGCTTGCCCTGCTCTCGCTCGGTGGACAAGGTGCAGCGTTTTTTCTCTGATGCAAAATTCAAAATGGGGCTCAAGGTGTTCGTTTCATGTGCTCCAGAGAAGGCAGACCGAGTGGCGAGGCTGTTGTTGAACTTGGATCAGAAGAGGACGTCGAATTGGCCCTGAAAGAAAGACAGAGAAACTGGGGGACACAGATATGTTGGAGTGTTCGAGTCAAACTACGTTGACGCGGACTGGGTGCTGGAGCGCACTGGTCCAGACAGTCCCGCCGCCGCCAGCGATGGCTCCGTGCGGCTCCGAGGACTCCCCTTTGGATGTAGCGAGGAAGAAATTGTTCGGTTCTTCTCAGGCTTGGAAATCGTGCCAAATGGGATGACACTGCCGGTGGACTTCTGGGGCGGGAGTACGGGGGAGGCCTTCGTGCAGTTTGCTTCACGGGAAATAGCTGAAAAGGCCCTGAAGAAACACAAGGAAAGAGCAGGGCTCCGGTACATCGGAATCTTTACGAGCCGCCGAGCTGACGTTAGAACTCATTACGGTCCACCACGCAAGTTTACGGCCCAGCAGCGGCCAGGTCCCTGTGACACAGCTGGCGCTGGCGGAGGGCGTAGCCGGGTTGGCAGGGGAGCTGGCTTTGAGAGGACTAGGCGTGGTGCTTACGGTGGAGGTTATGGAGGCTGCGATGATTACAATGGCTGTAACGATGGCGATGGTTTTGGGTCAGACTCATCTGGGGGCGACCTCAGTTATCGTCTTTCAGGAACGTCTGACCCCAGAAACGGGCCCAGTGGCTCTACTGCCCAGT